CATGTTCTGTCCCCACCAACAGCCTCTAAATGCAGAGGCCCTGACAACACAGCCCTACCTGTAACCAATGATCTCTCTCTCTCTGGGCCTACGAGGCATGTGACAAGATGGCAAACACAGCTTGCGAGGAAGCACAGATGTTGCAGGAACACTGATAGAAACTAGGGCAAAATTAGTGCCAAGTATACGAAGTGAACGGTGGAATAGCAAATAGATGGGAGGCTAGGAGAAGAACTGGCTTGCACTGGTGCAAGGGACAGTGCACTTGACAGTCAACTTAGATGAGATGGAGTGCAATATTGGACTGTTTAGGAGCAGAGGTTCAGCGCTTCTGAAGTTTAGCAATTAAATATCAAGGTGGGGAACGTTTTCCCCCTCCTCAGTTTACCTGTAAGTCTGAACTCTCCCTGCATTCTTAAGCATAATGAGGCAAAGCCTCCTTTCTGACCATTTTGCTATTACAGGTAAACAAGGAGGAGGAAGTCAAAATTCCTAAACAAGGGGAGGTTTTCCAACTGCATCCCCAAGCAAACAAAGGAACAAATTAAAGGAGCTGTGCTAAAATCTGGGAGTGCAGTAAGTCATGTAAAGAACCTCCCTTCCTTATTTATTTATTTATTTATTTATGCTTTATTATTTTGAAAGGCATTTTTACCTTTACTAGTCTTCTCTGGAGTGTCTGCAAAGTAGCCGATGTGGTGTGCCTATCTCTTAAAGAAGCTAGAGCAGACTCCCTGAAGCCTGAAGGAGATAAGAGGCAGGGATAAAGTAGCAGCAGGTGCTCCTGTTTCTGCAAGACAACTTCCTTGCACAGAACCTCAGGATAGATCTCCGCATCCTAGGCCCCCCCCCCAGTCTGTAAAGAGCCAGACGGTATACAAAAAAGACTTGCCAAGTGATTCACTGGATTTAAACCATTCTTACAGGGCCAGAGAAGTCAACACCTAGCGTATTTACTTGCACATAAATTCCTTTGAAATGGATGGGCCTTGTTTCCATACAAGTGTGCTGAACACTAAAGCCTTGAGACTGCTATGCACATGTACTTAGATGTGACTAACCAGCCGGTTTTAAATTGTTTCAATGTCTTACAGGATTTACATTTATTTTATTTTTATAGCTTTATTCTGTTACAAGCCGCCACCCTGGATTCTATTAATGCTTGTCAGTAAACAAAATAAAAACCTACTTCAGTCTCTGGTCCTGACCAAATAAAAACAGAGGGGCAGCCATAATAAATCTGTTACAAGACTACTTTCATTTTGTAGCACCTTAAAAAAACTAACAAATGTCTTAACACTGAAGGAACCCAAAGTCTCTGTTTTTATGTGGAAGTCCCACTTAGTGCCATTCATTTCCAAGTAAATATTCAAAAGACTAGTGTGCACAATTTATTAATGTCCCAGAAATGCCTTCACCTAAAGTGGGTCCTCCAACAATTGTTTAAAAAAGAAAGAAAAATGGGATAGAGAAAGGGGACAGTGTATGCCTACACTAGAAGTTTACATTAATTCCACAGTTTGAATTACCATGGAGGAAACCACTCCACCCTCAAATCCTGGGAATTGTATTTTCGTGTAGGGGCAAAAATTCAGTGCTACAGACCTCTTCATCTTATAGCTCAATTCAAGGTTCTAATACTGGAATATGGAACCTTTGACCTTCCAGGTGTTGTTGGACTCCAACTCCCAGGAGACCCAGCCAAGATGGCCAATGTCAGGGATGACTGGAGTTGTAGTCCACCAACATATGGTGGACACCAGGCTCCCAAGTCCTTGTTCTAGTATGTCTGTAGTGCGCATGTGCTTGAAAGGAGCTACAGTGGTACCTCGGGTTAAGTATTTATTTCGTTCCGGAGGTCCATTCTTAACCTGAAGCACCACTTTAGCTAATGGGGCCTCCAGCTGCCGCTGCACCGCCGGAGAACAATTTCTGTTCTCATCCTGAAGCAAAGTTCTTAACCCGAGGTACTATTTCTGGGTTAGCGGAGTCTGTAACCTGAAGCGTATGTAACCTGAGGCATCACTGTACACATCTTAAAATGTAGGTCCTAGATCTGGACATCAGAATCACCCACTTGCAAATTATTCTTATGTTAGGTTCTTATGCCTTTGGAACAACCCCCATTGTAATTCAAATAAAAGGAAGATTGATAGCTTCTGCCTATCAGAACACCATTGTAGTTTTGCCTAGGTAAGGAGATAGACCAGGGCAGCACTTGGCTTTTGTATTTTCAGAAATGAGGAATTAGCCATTTTATTTTTCTCTCTCCTAGTAGGCCTTGGTACAACCTGAAGCCTCCATAATCATAGCCTCAATTGAAAGTCTGCTACCACCTCTCACATTCCATCTTAAGATTCTTACCAGTTGCAACCTTTATCACTAGCTTCCTCCATTCCTCACAAGCTTACCACACTATCTTGTGACATTTTGGTTGGCCTAAGAAAGGTATTACCCCAGCAGTGTTTTGGATTCACGTCTTAAGGACCAAAACCGCTGCTTTGCTTTTTGTGGCACCCCGGAGTATATTATAATGATGAAGATGCATTCCTTATCCTGGTTTTATGGTTAGACTGCTGACCTACTCCCTCCCACGTCCTTTCTGCACCATATCCTGTCTCCACCCACTCGCACAGTTCAGGTTTATAGTGCAGCTGAGCCATTTAACCCCACTGCATCAATGATGGTCCAAGTGCAAGAACACTGACGTTCACATCCCACCCCCCAGCTGGCTGACACTTTCACACCAAACAAGCTCAGAGCATTTAGCTCCCTTTGGGGGTTGAACCACCATAAATTTAGTATTTGCATTTTTTAACTGCTTATGTCTGCATCTGGCTTTAACAAGTTTCCAGGTCTTAAGAGGCATAAATTCAACTTGCTGATAAGTTGTATGCCTACTTAAGGCAGTGGGGAGCTCACCCGTGGGTATGAGTAAGCTATTTATCAGTAGCACTAAGACAAGATAGGCTACTGATAGCTTGGATTTCAATATCAAAACTCTACTCATAATTACAACACTATTACTAAATTCCAACCTTATTACCTGTTACTGTAATCTAGCTGTATTCAGAAACCTGGATATAGGATACACGGACTAGACCCACAAAGCATCTCAAACAGACTTACTATGCCACTGTCTTGAGTGCCACAAAGACTTTTTTTATTCTGCTTTGATTTTAATCTGTAAACCTCCTGCTGTGGCAATTCTTTTTAAACTGACCTAGTTGTTTATGCCCCTCCCATGCACTGTTTTTACTGTTTATGTATCGTGTTTTTTAAACTGCAATAAAAATGAGATTTTAAAATCTGGACATCACCTCAGGGGCCCATTTGGGGCTAAAAAGATGGGGGTAGAAATGTTGTGTGTTTGGTTGGTCCCCCCCCCTATTTGAGGTTTTGAGCCAAATGCACCAAAAGGGTATCTCATAGGGTAAATGAGTGACATGAATGGTGGGGACTGGGGTGGCCCCAAGCTTGTTTTATACACAGAGGAGTTCTTTAATTCCTTCTTTACTGAGAAATTGCAAGAGAGATTCCCAGGGAGTCTCTGCTTGAGCAGTAACAAAGCTGTGGGGCATACATTCTATTGGCAATTAAAGGCACAATATCTCAGGGAACAGTAGGGGTGGCTCAAGAGCGTATGTTCTGTGGGCATAAGGGTTCTGTGAACTTCATCTGAACCTCTGAAATGAATAAGGCACTAGGAACTGAAAGTAAAGAACCTGGAACAAGCCTCAACTGCAGGGTAGTGGTGAGGACAAAGAACAGAAAGATCATCAAGCCGTACAACATACACACTATATTTGAAGCATCTCCTGACCCCCAGCACAAGGAATTCTGGGCACTGTAGTTTGTTAAGATTTGCTGAGAATTCGGACTACTGTGCCTAGAATTCTCTGAGAGAAAGAATGTGCTTAAAGATAAGTGTGCTTGCAACTGTAGTCTGATCCTAAACAGCTAGTTAAGAGTGCGGTGCTGGTAATATTGTGATTGCAGTTTCAATCCCTGTATGGGACAGCTTCTTATTCCTGCGTTGCAGGGGGTTGGATTAGAACTAGATGATCCCCAGGGTTCCTTCTAACCCTACAATTTTATGAAGACTCAGAATTAAGCACTGACCTATGCATAGCTTGACTGGGACGCGGGTGGCGCTGTGGGTAAAAGCCTCAGCGCCTAGGGCTTGCCGATCGAAAGGTTGGCGGTTCGAATCCCCGCGGCGGGGTGCGCTCCCGTTGCTTGGTCCCAGCACCTGCCAACCTAGCAGTTCGAAAGCACCCCCGGGTGCAAGTAGATAAATAGGGACCGCTTACTGGTGGGAAGGTAAACAGCGTTTCCGTCTGCTGCGCTGGCTCGCCAGATGCAGCTTTGTCACGCTGGCCACGTGACCCGGAAGTGTCTCCGGACAGCGCTGGCCCTCGGCCTCTTGAGTGAGATGGGCGCACAACCCTAGAGTCTGTCAAGACTGGCCCGTACGGGCAGGGGTACCTTTACCTTTAATGCATAGCTACCTGCTGGTGGGAGAACCCACTTTAATGGGGATACTTCCAACCAAACATGCTTAGGAACAGGCTACAAATCTCAAGTAAGGCTTACAATTCATATTACAGTAAAAGATTTGCATTCAGGCTTCTTAGATGTAAGCCCCACAGAACACAACGGTACTTCCTTCTGCATAAGCATGCATACAGGTAGGGGCCTGCCAAACCTGTTCTTTATAAATGATACAAGGCACCATATTTAATAATGATTTGTGTTTTAGTTAATTGACATATGAATAAAGCAGTATCGTTTAGTTTAGATTATGCATGCTGCTATACCATTAGAGGACTTCTCTCTAACTGTAAGGTAAAATGCAAGGTTTTCCAGAAAACTGCACGACCTGACACTCCCTACCCCCCAATGTACTGTATTAACTTCTTTTTTAAAAAGAATGCATCGCTCAATTAGTCAGAAGTTTTAAACTGATTAATCGACCTAATCAGTCAACGAGATGGAGCCTTAGATTCAGTAATTCAGCCTTTGTAACTTCTCCAACATCCCAAGGGTTACTGAAAGAGATAATCGTGCACCTTTTCCTTACATATAGGGGAAGCACCGCCTCCGTTGCCCAAAGTAAAGATGGTTCTTACACCACGAAGAACGCAGGCTGGGGCCCTAACCAAAGATGGCGGATCCAGCATCGGGGCGAGTGCGAACCGCACTGCACTTGAGGTCGCTCGACCTCGAGTGCAGGAAACCACCAACGGTGCCCACCTCAAACATGGCCGCCCCCGCTATAGCGAGTGGAGGAGCTACCCACAACCAAGATGGCCGCAGCACTTCACCGGCGACTGGTTCTCGGAGGCGCCAATCCCGACTCCAAGATGGCGGAGCGCCGTCGGCGTGAGGTGAGGTTTGTCTGCGTCACGTGACAGGCAGGACGGGGGTGTGTGTATCCCCGTCGTGTGTCCCGGCGGAAGAGTGAAGGGAGTCGGCTGAAAGGTCGCAGCTGGAGGGAAAGGGAAAACAAAGCGGCGCGGCCTAGCGCTGGAGAACCGGAGACACGCCAGTCACCACGGATACAGCCGGAGCCAACGCGGCGGCCGGGGCGCAGCCACCCTCGCTGCCTCCGCCGCCTCCTCCGCCGAGGATGTCGCGTAGGAAGGTGAGAGAGCGCAAACCGAGCCAAACCCCCTTCCCGTCTCCTCTCCTTTAGCTGCATAGACCGTCAGGCTCGAAAACCAGTTAAAAACGTAGGCCTTCAAGCCCCTGCTTCATCTCGCGTCTTGATTGGTCGCCGCTGCCTCCCGCCGCAACTTCTATGGCCATCTTCGCCATCAGTCAAGCGCAGCCCCCACCCTCAACGGTTATTTGTTTCCCTCCACCCTTTCGGTGATTGTTGTGTCCCGCCTCCTTCGGTTGCTCATTGGCTCCGGCGCTGAAATGCCATTGGCTCCTTTCCCTATCACTTCCTACTGGCGCGGTTTTCTTTTCCCCTCCTCCCCCGTCGCTCCTGTTCCCAACGACTTCATACTTGGCTAGGTGCCTTGGGAGCGGGTGTTGAAGTAGCTGCTGATTGGCCGGGCATTCTGGCCTGAATTGGCGTCCACGGGGTCCCGCCCCTCTCTTCTTTCTCTGTTTCCCATTGGGGGACAGGGTCGCTTAAAGGTCCTCCTCCTCGCTGTTATGATTGGAGGAGAGAGAAAATGGCACAGAGGGTTCAAAACACAGCAAGCAAGATGGACTGGGCCATGGGAATGGGTAGCAGCCATGGCTATAGTTTTCTGCCTACTCGGGTGTAAGTCCCATGGAATTCAATAGGGGTTTCTTATAAGTAAATCTTCTTACAATCGGTCTGCATGTATAAAAGGATTGATCATTCTGGATGCAAATCCAAGTCGTTTTTTGCAACTATCCAGTTTTAAGTACAGATAGAATTAGTTTTATTTCAGGAGAGTAGGAATTTTACACATTTTTTAGAGGACTTTCCATAGTCTCTTGCAACAAAGGAAGGGAGGCTGCAACGTGAATGACAATTCACCAAGAGGTTTAATAATAGGACATGTTTCGTAGTAGCTGTATCTTGAATTGGGCTGCAATCTTGGTTTTGAACCATCGAGTCTTTTAATTTGGGCAAGAACCAAGTTTTGCTACGTTGTACAGATCTAGCTTAAAAGAGCAGATTTCTAGCCCACAACATGTTAAACATGCAGTTGTTTCTCACAAGGAGCCTGGAAGGCTCAAAGTTCCAATCTTCATATTGCTTTTTAAAATGTATTTCTTTTATGAGACACACACATGCATATACACCATGGGGGTTCACCCGATTCCTACCTGCTTAGAATCAGCATTGCTGTAGCATCTGGTCCTTCCAGGTTGTTCAGTGATCTCATTAGTCTGTATATTAAAAAATGTATGTTTCGCTAAAGGTTCACAGCAACAAAATATAACATTTAGCAGACCAGTTTTTTACTTGTGCAGATTGTCTTAAAGCAACGAGTAATAACCTCATTTCATGCAAGTGGAAAGGAGGAACAAATATTGGGGGAAAGGAAGTCATGGGGGAGAGAGAGAGAGAGAGAGAAGGGGTAGGATAACCTACTTTAGGCTCTGGTCCTGACCACATTTGTCTCCAGCTGCACCCACCATGCAGCTCCACAATATATTACCCCCAGGTAAATGTGGCCCTCAACAGAAAAACGGTTGACTGCCCCAGTCATAATCAGAAATGAATTGGGATGGCACCTGCAGCATTCGAAGACCCAGCTTCATATCTGTTTGGAGTGCTATATAAATGAAATCCTCACTCCCTGCAACTCTAGATTATTTTCTCCCCCTTCCTTGGTATCCCTCTTGTGTCACACACATTACAAGTGGGGAAATAGAGTCAGAGGGGGGAAAAAATAAGTGGGAGGAATTACAATAGAAATTGGAAAGCATGATGGGGGAATTTGCTCTCATGGTCAAACTTAAGGTCCTGAAAGAATCGTGAGTCAGAGGCGGGCTATTCTTTATGCTTGTTCAGTCCTGCAGTGGAAGCCAAATTGAGATGTTTGCCTTTCCCTGCAGTGTGCTGGCTTGTCTCACATGCTTGAGTCTCTTGTAGAGCCATCTGGTCTTTCAGCCCACCTCTGTGCAACACACCTGGTGTCTGCTCCTGCTCTGACTACTGAATATATTGCACCAGCTGTGTGTGAGGTGGGGTGCGTTCTGCTTGTGTACATGGATGGTGTACAATCTTTCCTTTCCCACTTACCCCCTACAGGTAGCAACAGAACAGATTTCCCTATCACTGCATTTCTGTCACCTGTTATATTTCTGCCTGCCCGAACCAGGCAGCAACTCTTGAATGTGTGGGAAGTGGCTGATGGGTGAACGGTCTTTTATCTGTTGCAATGTCGTGATCCTACAAAAAGAGAATTGTTTTGTGAAAGGTTCAAAATTGATGCCAATAGTAGCAGACTGTGAGTTCAAGAGCCAAACTTGGCTACTCTTTCCTGCAGAGTAGAGAATAGGCTGCCATGCTTGTAGTAAAAGATGCATTGTGCTGGCAAAAAAGGAAAAAAGTTATCGGCTTTAGGCTGGCTATTTAAAAGGAGCGGCAGCTGCTTCTACAAATACAATGTTTGTTTCAGACTTGAGGAAAGCTAGTCTGTGTAGTAGGTTTGGCCCTCCAGATGTTGTTGGAGTATAAATTCCATCCTGCCTAACTGTTGGCTGTGCTGGCCGGGGCTGATGGGCATTGGAGTCCATCTGAAGAGCAACAGGTTTCCCATCCTTGCTCCATAACTTTCAGTCTTAAGTGGATTGCTGTGTGTCCCTGGATGAATTGGTCAGCTATAGCTTTTGTTCCCTGGGTTTTGAGATCTCATCCCTGTTTGGTGGCAGTTGCAAAAACAGACTTTTGCTCAGAGTGTGTTGAATCCTGTGATGTGAAGATTGTGCTATACACAGACTGGGTGGAGTTGCCACTTGTTGTTTGGTCCTGTGTCTTTTTAACAACAGAAATCAAGGAGGTGAACCTTTACCACTACATATCTTTATGCTAGGAAGAAGAATTGCCTGCACACTTGCGGCTTGCTAATGCACTCTTGTGTTGACTGAGTAAGCATGAGACTTGGGCTACAGGCACAATATGCTGAAGACTGTTTTGAAGTTGTGGCCAGCATACAACAGAGCTCATTTCTTCTGATGGGATTGGTCCTGTTGCCTTCTAGACAAAGTTCTGGAGAGTTTGGTTTGACCTATGCTATCCCTCTTGACTGAAATCAGAGATCAGTACCGTCACCGGGTCCCATTGCAATCCCATATACTAAATGAGCACTCACATATAGTTGTATGCACGGTCTGGACAGCAAGAGCGCAGAGAGAAATATACTTGTGGATGTGTGGAGATTCATCAGTGCTTTAGCCTAAGCGTTTTGTTCCAATCCGTTGTAAGAGGTTTCTGTTTTGGCTTGGTATTTCTGCAGGCACAGTGCGCAATACTTACTAGTTTACGATATCCGTTTTTCTAAAACATTTTAGTTAGTGCTGCTCCTCAAGGAGCAGACCCCAGATAAATGATACATGTTGCTTATGTGGCTGAGTCTTTGGCCTTTCAGAGGAACGCAGGCAGCAGTTCTGACGGAACCGAAGACTCCGATTTCTCCACGGACCCAGAGCATACAGACAGTTCAGAAAGTGACGGGACGCCACGCCAGTCTGCGCGTGTGACTCGCTCTTCCGCCAGGCTCAGCCAGAGCTCCCAAGGTAGAGCCTTTGAATGTTTGGTCTTAAGCCTTATTCTAAATGGCATGAGCTGTATAATAAGCTGGTGTCTGCCCTCCCCACCCCACTCCGTACGCAGGCACAGCCAAAATCTTAATTGGAGACATGCTAACTTTAGTCCTACCCACCCCTGAAGCTCTGTAAGCCATTGCACGTTCTGCATTAACCACCATGTGGACATGCAACAGGTCAGTCTGTAAGAGAATGACCTCTAAATAATAACACCTTTAAAACGAGCTTGAGCATCAAGTTGAGGATATTGATGGGTCAATAATTAGGATTCTGTCTCCCTGGAGGATTTCCAGACTTCTGTTTGGTGTATGCAAAGAAGCAGCAAGGAGAGGCATTGCAAATGTTGGGTATTCCAGTATTATTCCTATATTCCAGAGAAAGGCAGAGAGAGTGGCTCTGAGACCAGAGCTGAGTTGGGATTTGAACCCAGGATCTGCTCTCTCACATTTGTAACTAACATTCACTCTCATATACTCAAAATCTGAACTTGGGCATGGAGTAGTATCAGAAAAAAGCTCATTTATTACCTTGCTGTTCTTTGCTCCTTAACTTGTGCTTTTGAAAATCCTGGCTATATTAAAATTATTAAATCCTCAGAACGTATGTTGATGATGTTGGGAAGGCAGGCTGCACTGTGTCCTTCCATGCAGGGGGCAGATGTTTTTGCAGTGTGAGTGTTGCAAATGGTTTCTCCTAACGAAACACGTATGTGTGTGTGTGTGTTTCCCCACTTCCTTACCTCCCATCCTCTTAAAACTAGATTCCAGCCCTGTTCGCAACCCACCATCGTTTGGAGCAGAGGAGCCTGTTTATTCCACCCGGAGGGTAACCCGTAGCCAGCAGCAACCCACACCCGTGACTCCCAAGAAATATCCCCTTCGACAGACCCGCTCGTCAGGATCTGAAACGGAGCAAGTGGTTGACTTTTCAGATAGAGGTTTGTAAATGGCTGGGCAGGATGTAGAGTGGCTAAAACTGGCAGAGTCTGGGATCATGCTGAATTTCTTTATACCATGTTCTTCGTCGGATTTCTTTAGAACTTTAATGACTTCTAGGTTAGGTTGAGGGGCACTAGCTTAGCCAAGGCTGCTTTTGAAATACTAGTTGCTGTGTTGATCCCAAAGAGAGGGAAAGCACAGCTGAGATGATGCCCAGTTGTAATCGTCTTTTATCTGCCCCTCTGATTTCTTTCTCCATCTCAAGATCACCCTGGCAGTTTTGGTCAGGAGAGCAACAATACATTTCCTAGTACAGTACAGTCATACCTTGGGTTACAGCCGCTTCAGGTTGCATTTTTTTGGGTTACGCACCCGCCGAAACCCGAAAGTACCAGAACGGGTTACTTCCGGGTTTCGGCAGTCGCGCATGCGCAGAAGCGCCGCTGCGGGTTGCGAACGTGCATCCTGCACGGACCACATTCGCAACCCGAGCGTCCACTGTACAGTGGTACCTCAGGTTAAGTACTTAATTCGTTCCGGAGGTCCATTCTTAACCTGAAACTGTTCTTAACCTGAAGCGCCACTTTAGCTAATGGGGCCTCCTGCTGCCGTCGCGCCGCTGGAGCACGATTTCTGTTCTCATCCTGAAGCAAAGTTCTTAACCCGAGGTAATATTTCTGGGTTAGCGGAGTCTGTAACCTGAAGCATATGTAACCCGAAGCGTATGTAACCCGAGGTACCACTGTATTGCTTTTTTAGGCCTGTCATTTTGACCTACAAGGGATTCTGGGGAGAACACCCCCCCCCCAGTTTATTGGGCTCTGCTCACTTTTGTAACGTTGTGACTCTACACAGACACTAAAAACGCCGCTGACCACGATGAGTCGCCACCCCGCACGCCGACTGGGAACGCCCCGTCTTCCGAGTCCGACATCGACATCTCCAGCCCCAACATGTCTCACGATGAGAGTATCGCCAAGGATATGTCCATGAAGGATTCGGGGAGTGACCTGTCCCATCGTCCCAAACGCCGCCGATTCCACGAGAGCTACAACTTCAACATGAAATGCCCGACGCCCGGCTGTAATTCATTAGGTACGGTGGAACATTCCATGATCTGAGATTTCATTAGCGGACTCTCCTCTTCCCCAAATCCCCCACGTGCCCTTTCTTGTTACCAGCCCTAAGGCGTGTTCCTTTGGCTCTCCACAGGACACCTGACGGGAAAACACGAGCGGCATTTCTCCATATCTGGATGCCCACTGTATCATAACCTTTCAGCGGACGAATGCAAGGTAATTTATTCTCTTGGAAAATGAGCTTGTGGCAGTGGAAAGAGATCAGTCAGGAGGAATGGCATGGGGAGCGGAGAGAATTACAGCGCAGTTCATCCCACCCACCGTCTCTCCTCTTTTCAGTGCTGCTTTGCAGTGTTTGGACACACAGCATGGCCATGTAATGTGCAGCACAGCCTTTGCCAACTTGCTGACCTTCAGATGTTTTGGATTACCATTTCTCTATCAGCGGTGCTGGCTGGATCTGATGAGAGCTGTAGTCAAAACCATCTGGAGAGCACCAGGTTGTCAAAGACTGGTGCAGTTCCTCTCCTCTGAGCGTTGTGATTTGTGACACAGAAACAAACACGGGGACAAAATTCTCACGGGAAGCACGCTATTTGAAGCATACGTAGGAATTTCTGTTCTCAGGCTTGTCCAAAAATCCAGCAAGCCTATAATTTGAGTTTTAAAATGGTTATTTGAAACGTGAATCGAACCCTTCGTTTGTAGGCTTTGGGTGAGTCTGTATGTTGGTATTCAAAATTTCAGTTTACAAATTTCCTTTTTGTTTTGTTTTTCCAAGAATGTTAATATTTTTTAAAAAATAGTATGCTGTTGAACACCAGCTGTTTGCAGCAAATGTCTCTCTGTGCATGATATTCAGAGTCTTTTTTGCACGTGACTAAGATTATTTACTAGGGACTCTGGTAGTAACTGCTGAAATGAACTTGAGGTAGTAAAATGGGGCAGGGAGAGGTGATCAGATTTTCTCATATTGAATGCGCGTGTAGGAATTAGTTAAATTATTCTTTATTTTGTAAAATTATACCCTACAACTTCAGCCACCATGGTTCCCGGGGCAGAAGACAATGCAAAAATACAACCATGAAATCTAAAAATCCACCTGTAATTTGGGGCAGAAATTCCTGATGGAGCTGCGTAGCTTGAAATTGGCCTTGAGCCCCTGCCACCTCTCTTTTGAAACATCAAACCTTGTTTGGTCAATTGTGAATTGAGGGCTTATGGCTCCTTGGATGTTCCTTTCCTGCCTGCAAACCTCAGAGATGCCTGGGCTCAGGGCCAACAGTACCTTAACGCCCTCATATTGTGGTTTTGGTTGGACTGTTCTTACATTATCTGAGCAAGAATTTGCATGGCGTGAGAAGGGAAGGTTTGATACAATCTCTCTCTGGATTTCAAGGTGAGAGCGCAGAGCCGCGATAAACAAGTTGAGGACAGAATGCTGTCTCACCGGCAAGATGATAACAACAGGCATGCTACCAGACATCAGGTACCTCCATCTTACATTTTTACTGTTGCACCTTTATCAAGTATGCACTGGCTTTGACACCCCAACAGGACCATCTTTTTTCTAGTGATCATTGACATCTCAGTTTCAGAAGACAGTTAAAAAATGGAAAAAAAACCCAGAATCAAAAGCAATTTTGTGTGGAAATTCTGTCTGAACCTGTGTCTACTTATCTTGCTGACCACATTTTCTGAGTAATCTAAAACTCGAGGGGTGGGGGACAGGGATGATTCATTCTTCAGTTTTACCAAGAAAAGAATAAATGTGTTTGTTTCTAAAATAATTGAATATAACTTGCCCCGTGATAACTTGAGAAGAATTCATTCTTTGTGCCTTGTTCGTGGGATGTGGTTCTTTAGATTGAGTTTACTCTGTGTATGTTCATCCTTCAGCAGTAGCAATAGATATGTGTGAAACCCCACCAAGATCTATGGGCATAGGGCAGTATACAAATTTAATAAATAATAATACAGTGGTACCTCGGGTTACAAACACCTCGGGTTGCAAACATTTCAGGTTACAGACTCCGCTAACCCGGAAGTAGTACCTGGGGTTAAGAACTTTACCTCAGGATGAGAACAGAAATTGTGCTCTGGTGGCACGGCGGCAGCAGGAGGCCCCATTAGCTAAGTGGTGCTTCAGGTTAAGAATGGTTTCAGGTTAAGAACGGACCTCCAGAACGAATTAAGTTCGTAACCCGAGATATCACTGTAATATGTTTTGTATCCTTTCAAATGCCATACACTTCTCTGAAGGCAGTTCTCACAGTCATCTTGTATGTTGCCAAGTGAGGGACATGTAAATAATCCCTGATATTTTTCAAGCACAGTCCCAAGTATACAAGGCTCCTGGTTTGATACCATCTTGCTATACCGGGATAAAACACACATAATACAATGCAGTGTGGCAAGAGTCCTGTTCTCCCATCCAGCAATAGTGCCCAATGATCAGGCTCATGTTGGTTTGCAAGGGATGGTCTGGACTGTTTGACATGGAAGTGCAATAGACGAGCATCTAACTCCTGCAAAAGCATACAGTGGTACCTCGGGTTAAGAACTTAATTCGTTCTGGAGGTCCGTTCTTAACCTGAAACTGTTCTTAACCTGAGGTACCACTTTAGCTAGTGGGAGCAAAGTATATGCTTGTGCCATATTGCATATGTGACATTCGGTGCCAGAAAGGTGTGGCCAGAGTTGGGGAACCTGTGGCCCTCCAGGTTGTTGCTGGACTCCAGCTCCCGTCAGCCCCAACAAGCACAGCTTGATGGTCAGGAATGATGGGAGTTGTAGTCCAGCAACAGCTGGAGGGGCACCCAGGCTTCCCACCTCTGTTTCAGCAGATGAAGCAATAGTTGGCCTGCTTTGGGGTCAGAGGGCTCAGGATCCCGGGCAGGTTGTCGCCTCCTATGCATGTCCTGTGTTTGTCATCCCCTGTGTAGGCACCAACTGAAAGACAGCTAAGGTACAAAGAGAAAGTAGCGGAGATGAGGAAGAAGAGGAATGCTGGGCTGACTAAGGAGCAGAAGGAAAAGTACATGGTACAGAAGCTCTCTCTCTCTCTCTCTCTCTCTCTGTCTGAGGAGTGTGTGTTTGGCAGAATCAGGCCACCCTTAATGTCATGGCGTATTTCACACCCTGCATAGAGGGAATAGTTAATTTCTAACTGCATCTGATCCCAAGATTCTAGGTCATAGTGCTATACAGTAGAACCAAAACAAGAATAGGCAGCCATGAGCTAAACACTCCTCCAGTTATTTCAATTCGGTTTGTGAATTCCAGCCTTGCTGCTTCCCATCCCTTCTTGCACACAGAGCTTCGTGTCCTTTGGCCCTGCGCGAGGTCATAGTTGGGGCGGGGGGCTTGTAGGCCACCCAGACCAGCCCCCTGTGCGATGTAGGAAATTAAGTGCTGGAGCAACCCCATCCGATTCCTGCCCAGCCTCTGCATTGACGGCCTCCAACAAGAGAGAGCCCACTGCCTCTCTAGGTAATTGGTTCCCTTCCTAAACTGCTCTTACCAATAGGATATTTCTCTTAATGTTCAGTCAAAATCTATCCTCTAAATCCACTGGACTTAGTCCTGCCCTTTTGGACAGCAGAGAACAAGCCTCTGCCCTCTTCTGTTGGACAGCCTTTCATGCAGTTGAAGAGTGCTTCTGTAGATTTCCCCTCTATCCCCCCCCCCCCGGGTTAAACATAGTTCCTTCAGCCTTCCATCGTAGGAGTTGTGTTCCATACTATATCTGTTGCCTCCCAGTTCATTCGGGCTCCACTGAGTGGGAAAGCTGTAGCCCTCCAGGTGTTGTGGAACTACAGCTCCCATCAGCCTCTGCCAGCTGAGCCAGTGGTCAGGAATGATGGAAGCTGTAGTCCCAACAGCACAGAGGAGGGCTGCCCCTTATCCACAGGCTTCTTAAAATGTGGTATCTAGAACTGGATACAGTACAGTGGTACCTTGGTTCTCAAACGGCTTGGCTCCCAAAGAAATTGGCTCCCAAACGCCGCAAACCGGGAAGAAAGTGTTCCTGTTTGCGAACGTTTTTCAGAAGCCGAACGTCCGACGCGGCTTCCGCTTGAGTGCAGGAAGCTCCTGCAGCCAATCAGAAGCTGTGCCTTGGTTTTCGAACCGTTTTGGGAGTCGAACGGACTCCCGGAACGGATTAAGTTCGACAACCAAGGTACTACTGTAAACGCTTCATCTCTGTATTGATTCCTTGCTTCTGCACTCACAACAGCCCACAACTCTTCTTGTCCTTACAAGCAATCCTGCACGAAGCTTTCCAGGCTCCCTCGGCCTTCTGCTTCCCTCAGAGCAGGAGCCAGTATAATTTCACTGTCGAGCAAGAAAGGGCAGAGGGTGGAGGCTGAGGGAATCCACTTTCCCCAGGACAGGGAAACTATTTCTAAGAGGTTATTTCTGCTGTTTGGTTTAGGAGCACCGGCAAACCTACGGCAACACCAGAGAGCCCCTTCTAGAGAATCTGACCAGTGAGTACGACCTCGAGTTATTCCGACGAGCGCAAGCAAGAGCTTCTGAGGATCTGGTAAGAGGACTGGGCTGGGTAAGATACACGTCCTTCCACCTTCTAGGCTCGAAGTAAAACCATTTGTACTCTCTTTTTGTACTAAGCTGAGTGTGAATCGCTTGTGACTCTGTTTGGACAGAATCAAACTTCTGAGCAAGGGGTGGGGAGAAGTGAGCAGAAAGAAGAGAAAGTATCTTGGCATATCCTCAGAGTCTAGAGATGGGCGTCAGCAGTTGTGTATAAATAAATGGGCTCCTTCCTCAAAAGGGCTCAGAAATTCAACAATATGAATTGCATGGAGGGAGGAAACAGGGTAACGGAGAATCTGAGGCAACTGTTACTGGAGGCATTTGGCAGTAGGCCCTCACCAGTCATGGCAGCTGCGAGGGGAGGGCAGTTGGGCTGGGGGCAGAAAGCTGAATCAGCAGAATGGACAGAGAGAGCCGTGTGGTGTAGAGAATCGTGGTGGTCTGTCTTGGTTCCTGAGCCTGCGGAGGATTGGAGAAGCAATGATGGATCTGTAACTGGGTCCAGGTTGTGGGTTTCTGACTCCTCAGTTCTGAGAACAAGGTATTTGAGGAGCTGTATGTGGATGTTTTGTCTTTTGAGTTACTGTTACTACACATGTGCTCAATATTCCGAGCTTGGCTCAGCCCACTGGTCCCAATCTTTTGCTAGTCCGTTTCAGTTGCTGTTTTTCCTGCGAATCACAGCTCTTGACCCCACTTTTGTTTGTGGGGATGGGGACCGCGAGCAAGTGCCTCTCCCACTTTTACCAGACTTAAGCTTGAAGAAATGAGGAGAGGGTCTTGGTTTCCGATTGCGGGACACGCCCCACCTCTCTGTTCATTGACGCTTTTAGATTAATGTGAACTGAAGGCTAAGTGTATTGATGGCAGAACAGCAGAAGGAGATAAAGGAGCACCGTGGAACCATTCACATAGCAGAATGAAAGAGGATTGCCGGCTTCTCATCTGCTGTGCATCTGCTCATATTTTTAGAGTGTATCTATTGCCCTTCAGGAAACACTTCAAGACAACTTACAAATAAAACCGTTTTTTAAAGTATAGAGGTACAGCAGGCCAGTTCTTGGAAGCTAGACCGCTTCTGTCTGCTGTGGCCTTGATAAAGGTACAGTGGTGCCTCGCAAGACGAAAAGAATCCGTTCCGCGATTCTCTTCGTCTAGCGGTTTTTCGTCTTGCGAAGCAACCCCATTAGCGGCTTAGCGGCTATTAAAGGCTTAGCGGCTGAGCTGCTAAAAGGCTATTAGCGGCTTAGAAAAAGGGGGGGAAAGCGGAAAAAAAATGGCAAGACTCGCAAGACATTTTCGTCTTGCGAAGCAAGCCCATAGGGAAATTCGTCTTGCGAAGCAACTCAAAAGCGGAAAACCCTTTCGTCTAGCGGGTTTTCCGTCTTGCGAGGCATTCGTCTTGCGGGGCACCACTGTAAACTATGGTCACTCCCCTATTCTTATCTTCTTAGTGTCTTCTCTCCACCCCAAAATGTGGCCCTTTCTTGGATGTTTCCACTGCAAACCATTCACTAGATCAGTTAAGGTTTGCTTTTCTTTTTTATTGTATCTTTCCTTACAGTGGTACCTTGGTTTAAGAACAGCTTAGCTTATGAACAACTTGGATTAAGAACGCTGCAAACCCGGAAGTAGGTATTTTGGTTTGTGAACTTTGCCTTGGAAGCAGAGCATGTGCCGCTTCCTGTTGAGTGTAAATTGGGTCCTCCGCTGCTATGGGAAAGCACGCCTTGGTTTAAGAATGCTTTGGTTTAAGAAAGGACTTCCAGAACGGATTAAGTTCGTAAACCAAGGTACCACTGTATTTGCAATTTAGATCACTCATAAACAGTGATTTTGGTTTTTGGTTTTACAATCTCCCCACCAGCATCAAATATCTATTTAGTTTTTCCCCTTGTTGGGGGGGGGGCAGGTGAATTCTATGTCTTTGACCAGGGTTTCAAGCTTTTTTTGGACTATGACTCCCACCATCCCTGACTGCTGGACCTGTTAGCTAGGGATGATGGGAGTTGTAGTCTCAAAACAGCTGGACACCCAAGTTTGGGAAACCCTGTCTTGGACGAAGGGCAGGTATTAAAGACACCGCAGTTGCAGTTGGAGGGAGCCTAATGCAATGTAAGAGCTGCGACAAATGTCACATAATGTTTTGCATTGGCCCCTTTTTAGATTTGTGATGAAATAATCAAAGCAAATTTCCCAATGAGACCAGCCTCTCACACTGTTTTCGTTTTTCTAAAAAAAAAAATGCTAACAAAGGGCACATTTTAAAAAATGACAACGAAGAGGCGTGCGGAAAGTGGACCGATCAATTGTGTGGGAAAGCTCTGGCAGCAGAACAAGTTTTTTTAAGCTGCCGATGGCAGCAGAACGTGGATTCGGTCGAACCGGGGCTATGTCAGCTGAATGGCAGTTTCGCTGTAGATGCACTGGTCCTGCCAAAGGACCTCCAGAGAGAAAATGCCTAGAGAGAAAAGACGATGCTTTTGAAACCTCACTGCCTATCTGGAGATGCAGGTTTTAGGTTGCTTGAGGCTTAAGCTACGTCTTAAGCGGAGTTGCGTCATTCGGTTTCTTTCTCAAACTCAAAGCAGGCTGGGGTGGGAGACTGTGCCTGAGAAGACATTCAGGTGGGAATATGCACCCTTCCCCTCCTGGTCCTTTCCCAGCTCAAAACTTCCCTCCCCAAGCTTCTTTTCCACTTGAAGAGGATGGGGTGGCTCCTTCCCACCTCCCAGAGTGAAAAAGCACCTTGAGTATAGCAATTTAGAGCTGCAAGACGACGAGAGCGCCATGGGTTAAGCAGGCTCTCTTGGCCTGCCCGTTTTCTGCTCAGAGCAGACTGAGCTGCTTAAGGTTTAAATAGAAAAGAAAAAAAGCCTGGAGGAAAGAATTGCAGAACTACATGTGCCATAATCTTTGGAAGCCAAGATATGCAGACGTATATGCCCAGCCCCACTGTTTCTGAGCCAGCATTTCTTGGCCCTGCTGTTGGGGTGTGGAGGGCTGTTGACGTGCCCCCGAGGACCGGCGCTGAAAAGTGTGAGAAGATGAAACAGCTTCATAAGTGTTCTCATTTGGAAGAAGTGCCACTTTTCTTTCCGCGGTGACAGTTACACTGAGCGCAGGCCTGTCTTTCGCTGCGTAAGGAGGTGCCAGACTTCTGAAAGCTGTTGCCCGAGGTGCAGTCTGCATCTCTTTGGTTTCCCAGCTTGGAGAGTGCCAGAAGCCCTGGGGCAAGAGAATGGATCCTTTTTCATGTTTGATTGAAGCTCATTTGATGCTTTTCTTGTGATATGACCCCTCAGGCCCATGCTTACAGAGCAAATCAAAACTGCAAGAATCATGGGGTTCTGCTGAGAGTGGACCACCACTTCCAGAATAATGCTTTGGTACTTCTGTTAAGTCACGTGGAAGCGCTGAGCCCCCTATTCCACGTGGCCACGGCGGCTTTGAGAACAGCACTTTCTTCAGATTTGTGTTGGGAGTTAATCTGAAAAAGACTGCAAGCTGCAGGGACCTCCAAGCTCTCTGCATTGTTCAGGTCTTGGGGAGGGGAGCTTATTAACTGGCCTTCCAGATTTCCCGTCTCCAACGGCTAACTGCGATCAGAGCTGCACAGCGGGTCAGGTTAACCACCGTGATGCCAGGGAGCCTTGATTTACCACCAACTTCCTCCCCACAACCCCAGTCCTCGAGCCTCGGCAGGAATGCAGCGTTTAAAAGCTACACATATGCCAGCTCGCCTCCGCTGCTGTGCCCTCATCTTGTTCACAACAAGAGAGGAAGAAAATACACACAGGCTTCGAAAACGAAAGGCAAGCGGGCAGTGTCTCCAGATTTTTCTCAGGACTTTTGAAAACCAGGCCCAGGATGTAAAGCACCTAGTCAATGTGGTCCAGGGCAGAGGGAAGTCACAGAGCCCCAATAGCTGCTTGTTAACCACGCCTTCGCCCACTTGTGTCCTCCTGCATCCTCAAGGAATCCTGCCTCCAATGAATGCCATTCAGGGGAAAGCGGGCATGCCCTTTGAAAGCATGTACAGTGGTACCTGGATTTACGAACTTAATCCATACCGGAAGTCCGTTCTTAAACCAAGGCATGCTTTCCCATAGAAAGTAATAGAAAATGGATTAATCCGTTCCAGACGATGAAAAACAATCCCTAAAACAGCAATTTCACATGAATTTTACTGTCTAACAAGACCATTGATCCATAAAATGAAAGCCTCTATACTGTACTATAAAATAATAAGACAGTATTGTAGAGGATAAAAAAGAAATTTTTTTTTTAATTCTTACGTTCACTGATGATAATCATTGTTTGGATGTGGGGCTTTTATCTATTTCTGCAGTCACACAATCAACCAGTAACTGAACTGGGTTCCACACAGTCACAGAAACAAGTCACAAAAGTGAAGTCACAAGCCACAGTCACAAGTCAATCCCATAAAACAAAGAATAAGTCACAGTCAAAAAAATGAAATTCACAAACCGGAACACCTACTTCCGGGTTTGCAGCGCTCTTATTCTGTTCTAAAACCAAGGTACCACTGTACCTGGGACACAGAAGCTACAAATGTGTAAAGACATTGAGTGAACACTGAATAGAGCTCTTTGAATTGTTATTTTGTTAACTTGTCAAAAGACTCCTCTAAGACAAACACACTGGGAAATTTTATAGAAGCAGTGAGAATATTTTAAATCCTTGCTGCAGGGATAGGCTGAAGTGTGTCCTGGGACTCTGATGATACTTGTTGTTTTCCTGGCTGTAGGAGGATGATGATAATGATTATGATGATTTGGTATTATTTGGTATTTATATGCCGCCCACCAGACTGGGTTACCCTACCACTCGGAGAGACTTCCAACAAACTAAAACACAACATATCAAACTTTTAAAAGTCTGCATAAAGGGACTGGTGAATGTGAGAAAACCTTCACTGCTGCACAAAGGTGTAAATGACATGTTTTGCTCTGTCTGCATTTGCCTCTGGTCTCATCCCCCACTATCATGTGATCCCAGAAGGTTGTTCAGAAGGGAATGGCCATCTGCCATGGATGCTTTAGCTGAGATTCCTGCATTGCAGGGGGTTGGACTAGATCAGTGTTTCCCAACCGGTGTTCCGCGGCACACTAGTGTGCCGCGAGATGTTGCCTGGTGTGCCGCGAGCGAGTCCAAAAAAGGTTGGGAAACACTGGTTTCTCTTTCAAAAAGGAAACGTGGGTTAAAGCGGCGACGCCGCCTCCCACTCACTTTCCTGCTCTGGCTTCCCTAACAGTTTTCCGAGTTGCGTCACTGGATCCAGCCCCCTTTTCCACATGTGACACGGGGCTGGAGGGAGGGAAAGAGGGCTTTACGTCGCGCACAAAGGCAGCCTCCTAGAAGCGCTCTGGGCCGGCGCCGTTTCGCCGAAGGCGCCGGAGGACCCCCACCCTCAGCTCCTTCAGAAAGGAAGCCCCGCCCCTCGGCTCCCTACGCCGCCAGGCAGCTCAGCTGACTGATGAGGACGTTCTGCGGCGGCGGCGGCCGCACAACCACCGCAGTTGCTGGCAGCGTCTGCAGCGCAATAAGTAACAGCGCCTGGTGCTGCCAACTCTTTCTCTCTCTCTCCCGCCCCGCCCCCAAGCTCTCGCGCGCCCTGCGTCAACATCGCCGCGCGCAGCTTCCCGAGCTCAAGGCCAGCCGCTGCACGCACGCGCCGGCTCGTCATCGGCTCCGGTTGTTGCCTTTCTCCGCCGAGGTCGGTGGACCCCGAGCCTAGGCTTCCTTCCCGCACCCCGCTTTCCGAAGACCGCACACCAGTTGGGCCAGTACATATTCCCCTCCCGTGACTGGAGCGGAATAGCCCTTTCTCTTCTTCCCCAACCCTTGTCGTTGGAGGAGTCCCTCAGTCCCTCGCTTTGCTGCCTCCTCCCCCCCCCCACCCCCAAAGCTTGGAGGTTCCCCGGCAAGGGGGAGGGAAAAAAATTGAAAGTTACACTTTCGTGCGTCCCTCCCGGCGTGACGCTGCGCGCTGACGTCACGGGGCTGTAATGGTGGTGTGCCTCGAGATTTTTTTCATCAAACAAGTGTGCCTTTGCCCAAAAAAGGTTGGGAAACACTGGACTAGATGACCCTTGGGTCCCTTCTAGCATTCTATGAATGTTGCCCTCAGGCTGAAGACAATTCCCTCCACAGCTGTTCTCAAGGCACCATGGTGAGGAAGAGGAGACAGAGGCTGTGGCTGCTGTCCTCTACTAGACACCTTCACATCGAATTTACACACATTGGGCTTTATCCAGCCTAATTTAGATTGCCGTCCTGCTTGTGCTAAACTGTGGTTAAGTCCCATTGAATTCATTGGGGCTGAGTAGACATGGCCCCAATGCCTTTGAACTTGAATGCCTTTGAAATCATTGGATCCAGCTAGTCTTGACTTTTAAATTCCATGGATTTGAAAGCACAGTTAACTTGGGGAGGATCCAGACCGTAGTTGGCCAATTCTGTGTTTCACAAGCTGCGGAGTTCAGTTTCCTAACAGTTTCAGTTTTCTGTTTGCAGCAAGTTTGTAGACCTTAAGGCTAAATAAAAGAGGCTTGAATGTGGGTGGGGCAATTTGCATTTCCAAAGATCGGAGTGGGGCTTTGATGCTTTTTATAGCTCTGCCGCTCCCTGCGATTAGTGAAATAAACTGCAAAATAAGCAACTCCGCATAAATTTCCTTAATCTGTGTATCACTTATACAAAACTCAGTTCTTCCCGATACTGGAGTTTGTTTTGATTGTAGAGGAGTTTTTGGGGTGGGAGGGAATTTTTTCTGTTTTCACATGGGTCTAGCATAGATCGTATGAATAAAGAGCATGGTGAACTGTTTCTTTTTAAAATAATTTTGATTCCCCTTCTCTCTCAATAGGAAAAGCTGCGACTTCAGGGCCAGATCACGGAAGGGAGCAACATGATCAAGACGATTGCTTTTGGCCGCTATGAGCTGGACACATGGTACCATTCTCCCTACCCAGAGGAGTATGCGCGACTGGGGCGCCTCTACATGTGCGAGTTCTGCCTCAAATACATGAAGAGCCAGACGATACTACGCAGGCACATGGTAAGTGTTGGGCACACCGCCTTTTTATTGGTTGAGCAGAAAATGCGTAGCTGCTTCTGCTGCTGTGTTATTGTGTCCCCTAGTAAGTATCTCGTTCTTCCCCTCGCGACTCTCCCTTCCGCCTCTTTGTGCTTCTGATGCCGTTGGCCACACTAGGTAACCGTGCTAATGCTTGTGCAATGCTCTCCGTAGGCGAAATGTGTCTGGAAGCATCCTCCGGGTGACGAAATTTACCGTAAAGGCTCCATTTCGGTGTTTGAAGTCGATGGGAAAAAGAACAAGGTAACATACTTAACTGGAATTGGTTTCGGAGGAGGAGGAGGAGGAGAGAATTTGTGCAACACGTTGTCTTTTGTGGGCCATAGGCAGGCTGCCCAGCTGGCTCTCCTTGAAGTCTGTCGCCCCAACCTGTCCCAGCTCTCTCTGAAAAATGCTAAGGCTCTCATTAGGACCAGTGCCAAGGGTTGGCATTACTGGGGATCTGGCAAGAGGTCATACACTAGCAGGGGCCCATTGACAAGAGCCCTGGGGCCTGCTGCAGGAGGGTGTCCTATAGAGGATGTTTTGCCCTAAGGCCTTTCAAAACCTGGATATGGTACTGGTCATTATATTGGTCTAACTCCATCGCCTTTGAGGTTATTAGACAGGTAGTCTTGCCTGGCTTACTAGTGTCCACCGAACTCCAGCATTATTTTTATTATTATTTATTTAATGTATATGCTTGTGCATGCTTGAAGCAGACTTTCTCTCAGACGCTACCACAGTTTCTTTAAATAATTATATGCCACCCATTGACTAGGTTGCCCCAGGCACTCTGGGCGACTCCCAACAGAATATTAAAAACACAGTCAAACATCAAACATTACAAACATCCCTTTACAGGGCAGCCTTCAGATATATTCTAAAGGTCATATAGTTACTCCTTGACATCTGATGGGAGGGCGTTCCACAAGGCAGTCACCACCACCGAGAAGCCCCTCTGCCTGGTTCCTTGTAACTTGACTTCTCGCAGTGAGGGAACCGGCAGAAGGCCCTCAGAGCTGGACCTCAGTGTCTGGGCTGAATGATGGGGGTGGAGATGCTTCTTCAGGTCTGCAGGTCAGAGGCTGCTTAGGGCTTCAAAGATCAGTACCAACACTTTGAATTGTGCTTGGAAGCATACTGGGACCAGTGCCAGAAAACCAGAGATGGGCCAGTCACAGTTTCAAAGAAGCAGATTTGGCCAAAGAGATTTTTCAGGATTTGGGGGCAGTGAGAGTGGTGCCTAGAATTGGCCACCTCTTCCCAACACATCCTTGACATGCCTTCTGATTCTTCCAGATCTACTGTCAGAACCTCTGCCTTCTGGCAAAGCTCTTTTTGGACCACAAGACCCTGTATTACGATGTGGAGCCCTTCCTCTTCTACGTCATGACGGAAGCCGACAACACCGGCTGTCACCTGATAGGCTATTTCTCCAAGGTCGGTAACAGCCTCTCGAGCTCTGCTCCACAACCAGGGCACTGGCCACGACTTAGGCATTAAATCAGAACGGTGGGCCTGCTCTGGGCACTGAATCTGTAAGAGTTGGTTCGTGAAATATAGTTAACAGCGGAAAGCAAGCTTATAGTCCAAAGACAAATGAAAGCCAGGCTGCTTCCTGGAATCTTATTCAGGCTTTGTTACAAGTGCAAACTTCTGGTGCCAAACAGAGCCAGTTATTCTTGGTATTCATGAGGCTCCTCCACCCCACTTATAGTTGCATGTGCAAACACCTGCTTCCAGGAACATAAGAGCTGGGTTTCGGAGATATATAAATCAGAAATCAGGACTTTGAATGTGCTCTTGCATTGTGTGACAAGGAGCACCACACCCCGTCTTAGATCCACAGTGGGATCAGTTCCAACTGTAAATCTGCTGAGCTTTCTTGAAAAGACTGTTGGGTGGGTAGTGGTTCTGCTCATTGGTTTGCTGGCTTAGAATTGGATCAACATCAGGTTTGTGGACTGAATCCTCATCTTTTAAACCAGTGGTGGCCAAACTTGGCCCTCCAGCTGTTTTGGGACCACAGTTCCCATCATCCCTGACCACTGGTCCTGTTAGCTAGGGATGATGGGAGTTGTAGTCCAAAAACAGCTGGAGGGCCAAGTTTGGCCACCACTCTTTTAAACAGAGAAGGTGACTTCTAGCCTGCTCCTCAGTAAGGGCTTGTTAGCCCAGGCAGCCAAACTCTCCATCTCAGTCTTAGTCTCTGTTTTGCTGACAGAGGAATATTGCAAGTCCAGGTGTGATGTGAGGATAAATGAAGGCCTGGTGTGGGTTCTGTTTGTTCCTTTACATTTGACCTGAATTCCCAGATACAGTGCTTTGTCATGCTGATCAAAATAGAGCACAGGAACAATTTGAATTTCACTTTTTCTGGCAGTGTGAGAGGCCATTTTCCAAAACGGCCGTTAGAACTATTGATTCTGTTTAACTTTGGTCTCTGACACGTGCAGCATGGCCACTAGGAGTGCTGCATCAAAAAAACTTTAATAATTTGTCATTGGAAGTGCCGCACTTTCAAGTTTTTGCCTCATTCATTTTTACATGATAGGTTGGTAAAATCACCGTTTTGGTACAGTTTCAGTGAAAATATTAAACAAACAAATTCTGTAAGAGAAATGGACTGTTGCCCAACTCTCAATTTGTGCGGGTTTTGAACACAGCACCCTGAGAAATAGAGACGGTGCTTGTCTAAAATTCAAGGGGAGGGAGGTCCAAAGAGTAGATGCCACCACAGTAAAGTCCCAATTCGTATATCCTATGGAACAGACCTCCTAATAAGATGGTATCTGCAGGATGCCCTCTCCTAAAGTGTGCAGTGATAGATTGGGCATAAGAAGGGGTAAGACAGTCTTTTAGGTATCCTGGTCCCAAGCTGTACAGGGCTTTGCAGAAGCACCTCGAACCTAGCTCAGTAGTCTTGTGTGCATCCTGTTACAGGTATTAAGGATGAAGTTGAATGTTACGATCACTCACTTCCTTTTCCAGTTTGGCATTTCCCCTCACAAATAGTTTGGAATCTACTCTTTGCCCAGGCAGACATTTGGGGAAACGGCCACCACAGCCAAACACAGACCAATTCAAGTTGTCTCTGTATGAGCTAATATCAAAAGAGCTTTCGCTGGCATTTCCAAGACCTGAGGGGAGCTGGTGTTTGAGAAATGCAGGCCCAAAGCCGGGGTAGGGAATCTGTTTCAGCCTGAGGGCCACATTGCCTAGCAGGTTGGACAAGAGGGTGGAGCCAAAGATGTTGCTTTTGTATAGTAGACTGCATCCAGACTATGCAGAAGACCGCTTTCTTCACCCACACCTGTCCATCTAGGCTGGGCATCCCCAAACTCGACGCTCCAGCTGTTTTCAGACTACAATTCCCATCATCCCTAGCTAACAGGACCAGTGGTCAAGGATGATGGAAATTGTAGTCCCCAGATAGCTGGAGGGCCAAGTTTGGGGATGAAGAAGAAGAAGAAGAGTTTGGATTTGATATCCCGCCTTTCACTCCCTTTAAGGAGTCTCAAAGCGGCTAACAATCTCCTTTCCCTTCCTCCCCCACAACAAACACTCTGTGAGGTGAGTGAGGCTGAGAGACTTCAGAGAAGTGTGACTAGCCCAAGGTCACCCAGCAGCTGCATGTGGAGGAGCGGAGACGCGAACCCGGTTCCCCGGATTACGAGACTACCGCTCTTAACCACTACACCACACTGGCTCTCCAATGTGGATGCCTGATCTAGGCAAACAAGAGACATTGTCACCATTCAAGGATGCATTCCAGCCAAACAAAACCGTTCAGAGAGGGTGCAGAGCAGGACCAGTGAGGAGTGTGTCCTGGGAAGAGTCTTGAAGACCACATAGAGAGGCCTTGAAGGTCACATTTAACTCCTGGGCCCGAGGTTCCCCACCCCTGGTCTCAAGGCTCCTTGGGTGTCCAGGACTAGCTTTGTGATTCTTTGCATTGCAGCCATTCTGTTTTGATCAGCTTGCAAAAGCCATGCATTTGAACTTTTGCCACGATGTGATCAGTTCTTGTCAAACATGACCCTTCGCGGCTATACTGTTTACTTCCAGGAGAAGAACTCATTCCTCAACTACAACGTTTCCTGTATCCTGACGATGCCTCAGTACATGAGGCAGGGTTACGGCAAAATGCTCATCGACTTCAGTAAGTGTAGACGGACACGTGCTTTTGTTCTTAATCCAATGCTTCCTACTGCCACAAATCAGACGGTTTCATAGTCTCAGATGTGACACAGAGCAGTTGAGGGGTTTTTTAACGCAGCATGGTTGTTAGGGTTATAACTTTTTGACTTTTTTTCTTCAAAACAATGATTTCCTGTATCATATAGGGATGAACTTTTGCTTGGAAACACTAAGCACTTAGGGACTAATTCTTCTCAGTTGTGAAAAAATGGTCACCCCGAAATCAAAGTTGGAATCGCTGTATATGTAATGTTACTACTCAGAAGTATTAGCACTTTTAAAAACTTTATGGAACTGTTTAGGACTTTTACAGCTGTCTGGAACTTCCTGAAACTGTATTGGAGAATCACTGGAAGCAGGAGCCATCCGTACTCCAGATACCAAGAAGTAATCAATGCGCAATCAAAGTGATGCGGGAACTTTATGGTGCTTGAGGCAGAAACAAAGACAAACTGCAACCTTGGTTTATTCTAAGCAATAAGAAGTAATGCTCAATGTACAAAACCTTATACAGTGGTACCTCAGTTCTCGTACAAAATCCGTTCTGGAAGCCCTTTTCGCTTCTGAAACGTTCGAAAACCGAGGTGCAGCTTCCCATTGGTTGCAAGAGCTTCTTGCACTCAGCGGAAGCTGCATTAAACGTTCGGGTTCTGAAAAACGTTTGAAAACTGAAGCATTTCCTTCCAGGTTTTCGGCGTTTGGAAACTGAAATGTGCAACAATGGAGCCGTTTGGAACCGAGGTTCCACTGTACAAGTGTTAGAAAATTTGCAAGCTCTATTTTTCATGTATTGTAATATATGCTATGCATATGACATACTGTAATGCATTATACAGTTGCATATACAAAAATCAATTTATTGATTTCGGGGGGACCTTTTTTCAAGAGTTTTGTAAATGAAAGTTCATTCCTTTGTTTTTAGGTAAAAGTTCATCTAACTAATCTTAATGGAGCATGAGGTTGTAAAAAAGTTATAACTCTAGTGGTCGTATGACTAGGGTCTCAGGGCTGTTAAGAGGTAAATAAACATGATTGCTGCTTTCTTAGCAATCACCATCTTTCCATAACAAACCCTTTTGGTCGAGGGCCATTTAGCTTGGAAGTAAAATTTGGCCACCTCCGAAATAAGGTCTTTTCTACATATTTTGGAGGTGCTTTAGCTTTGCAGTAGCACAAGCTTTTGTGATGTTAAAAAAAATATTACTTTTTAAAAAAGACTTTAAAATGAAACTGCCTGACAGGGAGCTACGAGCTTTTGACAGCAGCTAGGGGATGACTGACCACTTCATTCAGGTTCCAGAGAGTCTGTTTTGTTCTCTTTCAACAGGCTATTTACTCTCCAAAGTGGAAGAAAAGGTTGGCTCCCCAGAAAGGCCCCTCTCAGACCTGGGCCTTATTAGCTACCGTAGTTACTGGAAGGAAGTTCTTCTCCGCTATCTGCATAACTTTCAAGGCAAAGAGATCTCCATTAAAGGTGGGTTCTAGATGTTCCTCCCCAGTGCATCAGTAGCAAACAGCATCTTTTTAAAACAACAACAACCCTTCTAGTCCAGGGGTCGGCAACGTGTGGCCCATGGGTCAGATGCGGCCTACAAATACCGTTTTACTGGCCCACAAGCCACTCCCGAACCAAGCCGCCTGCTCAGCAAGTTTCCCACGCGCAGTGCAGCGCGGGGACTTGCTGAGCGGTGCAGGAAATTGCGTCTGCGCATGCGCACATACCGGAAGTTGCTTCTGCGCATGCCCAGACGCCGAAAATCACTTCTGCGCTGGCACGATTTTCGGTGTCTGGGCATGCGCAGAAGCCATTTCTGGCACCACGGTCATGCGCAGATGCAATTTCCAGTGTCGCGCTGCGCCGGTCCAGCCCTGGACGATCTCCGCAGGAGTGATCTGGCCCATGGCCGGTAAGCCTTGCCGACCCCTGTTCTAGTCTTTCTTCCCCCAAACTGTGAAATGTAATTTCTCCCACCTTTGCTCCTCGAATGCCAAAGGAGCAATGTGGGGTGCTGAACCCCTGTTTACCTTCCCCCTGTATACTGAGATTCTGCTAGCCTTGCTCATCTGCTTCCAACCTACCTTTCTCAGCCATCATTCTCAGAGATCTTTTCTGGAGTCGTGGAAGACGTTTGGTCCTGATGCTTCCGTGCATTTAAAGCTGGAGTTGGCAGGAGACAGCGAGAGCTCTCTTGGTGTTTTGTCCCATATATCCCCCAAGCCCCTCAGTAAAACACACTCTTGCTTCTCTGTTTCAGAAATCAGCCAGGAGACAGCCGTCAACCCTGTTGACATTGTTAGCACTCTGCAAGCGCTTCAGATGCTCAAGTATTGGAAGGGCAAACACCTAGTCTTAAAGAGGCAGGTAAGTTGTCAGGCTAATACCTGCAAGAGAGTGGAGCCCTCTGCCTCTCTTGGGTCGCTGTGTTTCTCTTGAGAGATTTCTAAGAAAAGCATCACTCTTTCGCCCAATATTTGTTGTGAACAAAAAGCAGAGAGCCCAGCTTAGCGCAGAAACCTATGGCAGGATTGTTTTGTGCATGGAACCAGTAAGTGGTGAGAAATTGCTGTTTACAGTGGTGTCCAAACTTTTTTCTGAGAGGGCCAGATTTGATGAAGTGAAGGGCCGTGAGAGCTGACCAAAGGGCCAACTAACGTTGTTGACTTTTTTAAGGATTGAAGTTGTTGAGGTTTTTTTAGGGTTGAAGTTGTTGAGGTTTTTGTAGGATTTTACCCCAGGAAATAAACTGCCACAGGGGCCGGATTAAACCGGCCCAGCGGGCCGGATTAGGCCCCCGAAATGGACTTTGGACATGCCTGCTTTAGGGCTAGGGATGGCTACCAGGAAAAGTGGATGTGTGTAGCTTCCCTGTTCCTTGACTCCCCACCCACAGAGTCTCTCTTTCCTTCCCTGCCTCTGTATTTCTGCTCGTGATGGTTGCTACTGCTCCAATTCCAGCTGCCGTGGTTCTTGACAACATCAGACATGCGCCCAGTTGGTCACAACAAAGCTGCTTTTATGGAGCAGAAAAGCCACGGCAGTTGAAAAGAACAAAGTGTGCCGTACAGACAGACCGCAGGAATGAGGTTCCAGTGAGCCAGTGTTTCTCCAGCTTGGGTCCCCAGCTGTCGCTGGACTACAACTCCCATCATCCCCCAGCTAGCAGGACAAGTGGTCAGGGATGATGGGAGTTGTAATCCAACAACAGCTGGGGACCCAAATTTGAGAAACATTTCATTAAGGGAACCCTCTTGTGGCTCCCATTGCATGCTCCCTCTGCACCGCGTATCTCATTTACCTGTCAGGAGACGTTCGGGTTGTTTCACCCATCAGTCTCTTGTCTACAGTGTCATTTGAAGTGCTTTAGAGTCAACTCACCTGGTAGCCACAGGTGATAAGGAATTGCATGCTGATGAATGATGAGCCCGCAGAATGGGAGGTGCAACATTACATCCTTTTTCTGCACCAAGCAGGATACTAGAGAAGACACGAGGCCCTTTCACTCCTTTGTCACCCCCCAGGAGGCTACTAATATTTTTGGGGCAAGCTGGCGAGTTTTGTGGGCTTAGGCTGCAAACCTAACCCTGTCTACTTAGGAGTAAGGCTCCCTGAATTCCAGTGGGACCTACTGCTGAGTAGACATAGTTAGGATTGTGCTCACACGTAAGTCTCACTTGTTCAGTGCAAGGCTTACTCCCCAGTAACTGTGGTTAGGGTTGCAGCCTCAAATGTTTCATTGCTACTTAGCTAGCACACAGAAAACCCTGTCTGCTAAGCAAAATCGCCTCCTTGCTACATTCGTGATGGAGCTCGGCAAACATCGGGTTAAGACGATAACCAGAATGTGGAGAGATCAACGAAATCAGCCTTCTTCCTTCGTTAAGTCTTCTCTGTCTTCTTCTCCTTCCATCTCTAGTCTCTCTAGCATAGCATTAAAACACCCAGATATTTCAGGCTCCTGCAATCCCCCTCTAAAACATTAAGTCTGAAACCCCCCAGTGACAAGATTTGACCTGCAGAAAACGCAACACACAAGCCGGAAAGGTCCAGCAGATTCTCAAAAATGGAGGTCCACGATTGCACGATGGTTACTCCTCGGCAGTTACACAGAAAGAGAGTTCCCCAGTACGGAAGCCCCGGCTGTTTAAACTGGGTCATTTTGCAGCACAAAACTACTACTGTGCTTGTTTCCTTGAATTTAGGGGCATCCTTATCAATGCTAGACACAGCTCTATCATCTTGTTAGCAGCTTCCCCCAGACTTTTAACCTGCACCTTCCCTTTTTCTCCCCCTCTCCCTTCAGGATCTTATCGACGAATGGATAGCCAAAGAGGCCAAGCGGTCTAACAGCAATAAAAGCATGGATCCCAGCTGTTTGAAATGGACCCCTCCTAAGGGCACTTAATTTGACCCAACCTCTCTTGAGAAGTGTGGACACCTCCCCGCCGCCGACCACCACAACCACCACATAACCCCCTTTCCTTTTCCAGCATTAGGAACTGCCTTTGGGATCGCAGATTTGTGACTTGCTGTTGGTACCAACCCTCCCCGCCCCTCTTTCACATTCCTTCAGGATGTTTCTCTTCTCCCCGGGACCGTTTTGACCCAGGTCCTTCCTCCGCACGGCAAGGTCGGGAAGATAAGATCAGAACGGATACAGTGTTAATGTGGCCCCGGGAAGGGGCAGTAAGATCTTCCAGCGCACCGTTTCAACTTGCCGCTCCGTGAACCACAAGGCCCTAGTCCATAAGATGGTGTCGTAACTCGTAATTTCTTAGTTGTTTCAGCCTCCTGCTTCCATGCAGCCTTGAAGGGCCTGGTTGGCACCTGCTGTGAGGTGGTGAAGGTCCTGCACGATACAGAGGGCTGTACTGTTTCAGATTGCAAGTGTGGGGCACCGCGATTCCCCTTGCAAAGAATTCCCTTTCAGTGGAAAACCAGCAGTGACAGGGATAAAGATTCTAGCAGGCTCTCTATCTCCTGTCCTAGGTTTCTACTCACGGGGGGGGGGGGGGGGGTTAATACAAAGGAGAGCATTCGGAATCAATTATCTCCCATCAGTCATATGAAATTTTGGTCCAGTCCATTCTACCCCACATTCCCACCCCCCTCTTATTCTGCTGCACCTTTGGATCCGGCCTAAAGGTGGGTTTGTGGGACCATCCCCCCCTCCCCGTCACTCTGCAAGTGGAAATGATCAGACACCCCCTTGGGCTCCTTTGAGACCATCAATTTCTCATACGTGTTTGCAGGTCTGAGCGCTAACTGGATATTGCACACCAAGCGTGTGCAAACAGCAGTTATTTCTTCCTTCCCAGCAGGCCAGGAAATCTCTGGGAGGCTCTGACTGAATGTGGGGACGCCCTTTGGCTGCTTCCCCTTCCCTTCCCCCGAAAAGTTTGAACGTTTAGGCCCTGCTGCTATCTCTGTGGGCCACACAGCTGAGTTCCCAGTGGGGGAAAGCGGCCTAACGGAAAAAAAGCACCACTTCCCTCACTCCTGCAGTAGTTGTGCCCTTGCCCAGTGTCGCCTAACATGGAGCTCCTTGCTCTTCCTCGCAGCTGCTTTTGAGTGCTCTGACCACAAACCCTTCTGAAGAGCCAGCTATAACTGTTCCTTTGCAGGAAGAGAAATGGCAGGACCAGCAGCCCTTACCAGCCCCCTTGTCCTGGTGCCTCCTCACTGCTTCTGGCCTTTTTTGTCCTTTGAGCTTCCACCCCCTCCGAAAGAAACCTGCACCTGACAGGCCAAGGAGCCGCACCGCAGCGGCTGCTCAGAGAGCACTGCCAGCCGGACGGCGCTCCTTTTGCCAGCCCAGCTTTGGCGCTACTTTGAATTGCCAGATCTAGGCGGGAGTTAGCTGCAGTCGGCTGGCTTGCCTTCATGCGGTGGTAGTTTAGTTCCCGCCGATACGTTTTGGCTCCTTTTGCAGTCCACACTCCTGCATCTCTTGAACCCTCTGTGCTCATCCGGGAACAACCCTGGACCTTTTCCCACCTCCATTCTGGCCGAGGCAAACAGCCGTTGTTTTTAAAGGATTGCCAGGGGGAAACCAGCTTCCATTTTCCAGAAAGTGTGCTTATTTCACCCATGGATTGCAAGAGCCCCTAAGGGCCACCACGGCCAGGCAGCCTACCCCATTCATTTCTGACCTTCTCTACTGGTTTTGTTTGATGGTCTCGTAGAAGCATGAGGTCCCCCAGAAAGGCTGGGTTTCTCCCCCACTTCTGGGATGCTGTACCTGGTTGCATGTGGGTCCTCATCCCAAGACAAATTCGCCCTTAGAAAAATTGTGAAAATAGTTCCAAGAGCCTGGAAAGTGTGTGTGCAAGCACACATAGCACCAGTTTGACACAAATAATGGGTGTGCCCCTTTTCAAGGGGAGCCCTCCCATCTTTTAAGTGATCGTCACTCCCCGGCTTGGGATGGAAACCCTTGCCTGAGCTGTGTGGCACTTGTTCCCAAGAACTGGGAGGGGAAAGGCAGGGAGCTTGTGCGGTAGCTGGACCTGATGGGCTGTCTGTTAAGGGGGAGGGTGCTTGACCGTTTTAAAATGTCTTGTAAAGTCAGAGATGGGGACTGCAGCTCCCATCAACCCCATGCTTAGGGGATGATGGGATTAGCCACAGGTTCCCCATCCCTGCTCTAGGTATTAAGCTCACAAATTCGCCTTAAGTGTTCAGAGACCAAAGGGAAGCCTCCACCGAGCACACTTTGCCTAACCTTGCTGTTCACAGAGAGGAAAAGCTGCAGCCAGAGAGGTCTCTTTCCTTACAGAGTCAGAAACCTCTTGACAGGTTTGCTCTTTGAAGGTTTGTGCCCCTCACATGCCATTGGCGTGCTTTCAGAATTGCGAATCGTCGGGTGGCATTTGCCCTGTGCTGCTTCCGGCTATCTTTTGTGTAGGGCAGAGTCGCCTGGTGACACCCCACCATTTGGAGGGCCAAAAGCCCACTCCCTTGAATGCAGAAGTGCTTTTGCACAAAGCCAAGGGTCTGAGGGCATGTCATGAGCCACAGACCAAGCTGGGCTGTGTGTGTCACATGCAGCACAACCAAAGAGGCCACAAAGGAGACTGGGGTGTGTGTGTCTGTGTGTGTGCAAGTCACATATTTGCCCCCCCCCCCGCACCACCTCACTCCGGGTTGCATCTTAGTACTGTTTGTCATCCCTAGAACATAATTTTCTTTCCTTCCTAGAGATTACCTTGTACCTTTGGACCTTGGGGATGCCTGGCCAGAGAGCGCAGTGTGTTTTCACCTGTCTTTCAGACTGCCGTCAGTCGGATGGATGTGTTACGATCCATTTCCAGCAAGTCTGGTTTTCGATTGTAAGGTTTGGCAAACAAAACAAAACCCTTCCAACTCGACGCAAAACACCCTGAGGGCATAAATAGCCATCCTTTCGCCATGTCTTTGGCCTCTAGCCTGCTGCGTGTGTGGAACACAACCTCTTTGTTTCTAGCTGAACTTCTCCCCCCCCCCCCCAAAAAAAAAGAAACGCCTCTCCTTGTCTCCCATCTTGGGACAAAATGGATTCCAGTTGAAAGCCGATCCCTCTAGCACAGATCTTTCCGCAAGCACTCCTGTGGTTGGCTCTCGTGTTTGGTTTTGTCTTTTCATTGCCATCCTAAATCTGCCAAAGTTTAGATTTCTGTGCACATTACTGGCAAGTGTCATCCAGCACCCTCAGCTTCTAGTTTTTAGCAAATGGTGAGGTGGCGCCCTCTCAGGTGGGGAGGGGAGGTTGGCCATTCTTGTACAGAAGTGAATCTCTGTTTCCTGGATATGTTAGAATATGCTACCAGTGTATCTACTTCTCAATAAAGCATGTTCTCTGCTCTAGTATTCCAAGCATGATCATTCCTGGGGGGGAAATGTCTGTGCAGTGTGTCGATCTGAGCTTTGGGCTTTTGGAGACTTCCCTGCCGTCGCCCGTTTTGCAACAAAACTGATTCCCTATTAACTACGCAGGTGAAGCCATTTGCTTGTATCGGTTTCTGGCACGTGTTTCTTTCCTGTTTTTGCTCACAGTCTTCCAAGTTCCGGGAATACAGTGGTACTTCAGGTTACAGACGCTTCAGGTTACAGATTCTGCTAACCCAGAAATAGTACCTCGGGTTAAGAACTTTACCTCAGGATGAGAACAGAAATTGCGTGGCAGCAGTGGGAGGCCCCATTAGCTAAAGTGGTACCTCAGTTTAAGAACAGTTTCAGGTTAAGAACGGACCTCCGGAACAAATTAAGTTCTTAACCCGAGGTACCACTGTACAAAGGGAGGGAAAGATAAAATCTTATCAGTGGCACAGCACATTTTTGAATGCAGAAAGGTCAGGTTTCGGGCCCTGGCATCTCCAGTCAAAAGGATCTCTGGAAGCAAACCTGGAAAAGTCTTCCACCTGATACCTTGGAGCCAAAGCCATTAGGAGAGGAGAGTACTGAACTGAGGTAAATATCAGTTCTCGTATCTGTGGTCTGGCAGTGTAGGGCGATATGGAGAGCTGAGGCCAAGGCCAATTTAAATGCTAAGCCTGGGATACCTATGGTTTTCTCAGTGTACTTCATTGTCTCTGACCATTGGCCATGATGGTTGCATGCTGGAATCTCAGAATTGTAGAGGTGGAAGGGACCATGAGGGTAATCTACTCCAGCCCCCTGTAATGCAGGAATTTTGCCCAACACAGGGCCCGAACCCATGACCCCAGCTCCGAGGGCCTTCTGGCGGTTCCCTCACTGCGAGAAGTGAGGTTACAGGGAACCAGGCAGAGGGCCTTCTCGGTGGTGGCGCCCGCCCTGTGGAATGCTCTCCCACCAGATGTCAAGGAAATAAACTATCTGACTTAGAAGACATCTGAAGGCAGCCCTTTTTAAGGAAGTTTTTAATGTTTGATGTTTTATCATGTTTTTAATATTCTGTTGGGAGCTGCCCAGAGTGGCTGGGGAGGCCAAGCCAGATGGGTGGGGAACAAATAATAATAATAATAATAATAAAAATTTAATTACTACTCTCAACCCCAGTGGTGGCTGGTCTAATGGAGACAATGGAGCACCTACCTCAATCTGTCCCCACCTATCTACCACCTGACAACTAGTTCTGCGGGACGAAGGCTATTATCTGCCAACTTCTTGGTTTTGAGTCAAGTCCTTGCAAAGGAGCAGGCAGCAGACAAGACTTGGAATTAGTTGACTGTACCTGTCACTGGCTCTGGCTTGACCTGCTCGTCACCTGACCAGTCCCAGTGAACGCCAGTCGCCACTGCCAACCCCATTTAAAGCCACAAACTCTACGATGGACTTTTTTTAAAAAAACAACCTGCCGCCTCTCCATCTTGGCATTATTTCACAAGAACGTGGTGCAGAGAAAGCGAAGACAGCCCACAGATTCGCAAACACATTTATGCCACTAGGCTGGTGCTTAACAATGGAAGGAGATATCATGGGAACTGTAAAACACACAAAATGTTTGCCATTCTTGGCTACTCGAGAAACAGGCGACGTAATATCCACGGGGCTGTAGAGCCGAGGAGGAAATGGTACCAAACAGTAGATCTCGCTTAAGATGCCCAAGGTGGAAGTAGCTCTCTGCTTGACCGTTCCTGTGTCGGCTCTGGGAGAAGAGAAGAAATTGGGGATCAGCAAAAAAATTAAAACACAAAATACGTAATTTTTTTAAAAAAAGATATTTATTAAAGTTTCAAGCAATAAGACAAGCTACACAATACAAAGTAAGAAAAAAGAAAAAAAACACCACTCAAAAATCAGAAAAAACACACAGTGAAAAACCCATCAAAAAAAGCAAAAGAAAAAATACATGAACAGACATAAAAAAGAAAAAACCAATTTCTTAGATATTATTCTCATAACCCTCTTTCCAGACTCCCTCGCATCTCCCTTTTCTGCGTTCCCTTTTACAGAATCTTGTTCAGCAGTACCTCACCTTCTTTCAAATCTTATTTCATATTATACGTTTCCACTATTATGTCTCCAGTTTTTCCCCATTTTTTCATTTTGTTTAAGTTTGACATAATATTGTTCTGACTTCACCTTTGTTCTGTTGACCATTTTTACATACACCTTTCAACTATATCACTAATACCATATTATCTTTGTATCCCGCATCATTCTAGCATTCATACAATTTACAGTGCTTTTGCAAGTAGTCTTTAAATTTTTTGTCTTGCCTGAGGCAAAGATGTTGCTCTCAATAAAACTCCATGATAACAACAATGCTTGACCTATTTAGACAAATTCAATCTAATCACTAGGAGCATAATAACCAGTGGCAGACTTTGTGCTTTCAAATTTTAGCAGGGTCCTGTGCAACACCAAATTTTGGAACCTCCCATCCCCCGCCTCTCCTTCCGTTGTAAGTCATTGTTACGGCGCCCAGTGCTGGAGAATCAGTCACGCTCCCCTAAATCGGCCTCTGATTATAACACCACTACTAACCCAAATACAGTGGTACCTCGGGTTAAGTACTGAATTCGTTCTGGAGGTCTGTTCTTAACCTGAAACTAGCCTGAAGCGTCTGTAACCTGAAGCGTCTGCGACCCAAGGTACGACTGTACAAGCAAACAAATTAAGTTATTTCTTTGAGCAGATCAACACTTGTGATTATCAAATTCCTTTTGTCGCATAGCAGAATTTATGTTGCTATTGTCTTTTCATTGCTTATTGCAAACTCCCTGGAAATTATCAACGGAAAGGGCAGAGTACACACACACACACACACACACACACACACCGTATTTTTCGCTCTATAAGACACACCAGATCACAAGACGCACCTAGTTTTTGGAGGAGGAAAACAAGAAAAAAATATATTCTGAATCTCAGAAGCCAGAACAGCAAGAGGATCGCTGCGCAGTGAAAGCAGCAATCCCTCTTGCTGTTCTGGCTTCTGTGATAGCTGTGCAGCCTGCATTCGCTCCATAAGACGCACACACATTTCCCCTTACTTTTTAGGAGGGTAAAAAGTGAGTCTTGTAGAGCAAAAATACGGTGTGTGTATATATATATATATATGTGTGTGTGTGTGTGTGTGTGTGTGTGTGTATATATATATATATATATATATATATATATATATATATGCATGCGCATTAAGGGGTTGGGTGGGGTGGAAACGATAAGAAATGTAGGGAAATGAGACCCTCAGTCTCAACCCACCTCAAGAGGAGCACCATCATCCCATCAGCCCTCTAAACATCTCTCCTTGGTGCCCTAGGGTGGCAAAGAGAGGGGCAGAGGTTGGCACAGAGATTAGGCACTTTCTGAGCGCTCTCAGATGCATTTGGGGAGGAAGACGGTTCACAAACATAAGCAATGTATTTGGGACACCCCTTTGGGTGTGCTTCTGCTGGATATGCCATACCTTGACTGTTCCCTGTGAAAGCTGGACATCTCTCCTCAAAATTATGGATACCAGAAAAAGTGGGGAGGGCCACTTTACGTGTCACAAACCTACATACCTATAAAGCAGAGTGGAAGAGCACCTTGGCATGCAGAATGGATCCTAGACAGTGCCAGATTTACGTATAAGCTAAACAAGCTTTAGCTTAGGGCCTCCCTCTCTTGGTGCCCCCCCAAAAATTAAAGGAAGAAAACCTGGATGTACATTTCCAAAATATAAGGTAAAAAACAAATAAAATAAAACCTACATACAGCAATAGTGTTTTGTGTTTTGTAGTCTCCTATGATGTAAGTAATGGGCCCCGCCTGCTAGCCTGCTCCCTAAAATATCACTGGTTTGCTCATTTCTATCTCAATTACTTTGATAAAATACTTATTTTGTTATGTGCAAATGGCTTTAGATACCTGTTAGGTCCATAAATTACCATACAGCATATATTCAACACAAAAAACAGTGACAATTTGTTGTTGGCAAAGGACAGCTGGACATATAAAGGGCCCATTACCTTCAGTAGCTCAGGGCCTCATCAAACCTAAACCTGGCCCTGGTCCTAGACCAGTGGTGGAGCATCTGACTTTGCATGCAGAAGTTCTCAGAGTTGACCATCTCCAGTTAGGGCTGCATGTCATGGGCTGGTTGGATTAAGGTTACCAGACGTCCCCGTATTTACAAATCAGTCCCCATACAAATCAAATATCTTTAATACGGTCAATGACCAGCAAGGGTCCCCATACAAAATCCATTGAAGTTGAAAAGTGTCCCCAGATTCATTGAAAAAAATCTGGTGACCTTTGGTGGGATGCTGAGGAATGGTGGGAGGAACCAGCTAAGGGAACCCCCAAGGGAAGAAGGCTTAGAGCCTGAGGACTGGTAGTGGGATGATGATGAGTGCTAGGAGGGAGAAGGAGGGGAAGCACTGGGAAAAGGAGGTGTCAGAAGCAGGAGAGGTAACAGGGCTTAGTGAGCAGAGAGTGACTGTGGCAGGACTTTCCAGGATCCAATCAGAGACTGGGATGGCTTCTGTAAATCTGGGACTGTCCCTGGAAAACAGGGACCCTTGGGAGTGTCCGAAATATTTGGACCTTATTATTTTATGTATGACTGTAACATATAACAGAAAAGCAAGCAAGCAAAGAAACAAACAAACAGCAAACAAATAATAATAATAATAATAATAATAATAATAATAATAATAATAATACAGTCGTAGCTTGGATCCTGAACAGCTTGCGAGATGAACGTTTCAGCTCCTGAACGCTGCAAACCTGGAAGTGAGTGTTCCAGTTTGTGAATGTTCTTTGGAACCTGAACATCCGATGCAGCTTCCTGCAGCCAATCGGAAGCCATGCCTTGGTTTCCAAACCTTTTGGAAGTCAGGCGCACTTCCGGAACGGATTCCGTTCAACTTCTGAAGTACCACTGTAAACAACGCTCC